TTTTAAACTTAAGTTATTTACCTTTACACTGTAAAGGCTATAGCACATAATGATAGACGCTTATCGTTAAAATAGGATAGTTAAAATTAGGTTTAAGTTAGGTTATGCTCAAATAAATTTATTAAACAAAATTATCTTCCGTTGTAATCGAATCTATCTTTCGGTGGTCAATATTTTATCTCTAAACGCATATCTCCAAACAATACACGTAAAATTAAGTATTACTAAAAATATTAGAAAATAGTATTGTATTCATTGTACTCTGCAATAAGACTTCTTTAAAACTGTACTATAACACGCTAGAAAACTAGTTTCAGTTGGCCAAAATATCGAGTTAAAAAATTTGTACAATTTTTTTATAATTATTAAATCATGTCACCCAGCAAAGTTTAGTCTTATTTCCAACGAAATAAAACAAATGGAACAGCTACATGCTTAATATGCGATGATATTTTAATAAATATGGGTTCCACATCAACATTGTGGACACATTATAATGCATGTCACGCAGAAGGAAATACGATGGAAATAATACTGCCGTTAGAAGAAGATGAATTAACTCGGTACCTTTCAGAGCCGCAGATAAATCATAACGAAAATCCATGATTTTGGTGGAAGTCTAGGGAAACCATGTACCCAAATTTATTGATACTCGCAAAATATATTTTATGTATACTGGCTTCGTCAGCATCATCTGATAGTTTTTTCAACTGCTGGTAATATTACGACACAAAAACATAATAGATTAACGCCATGCCATTTAAGTTCATTATTATTTTTAAACAAAAACCCAATGATCGTAGAAAAAAAGTTATTTGATTTATTAATTTTACTTATTAATTACCTATTAAAAATTGGTTTGTATTATTTACATCATTACTCCTTTAAAAGATTACAGATCTACCTCGCATTTATACCTTATATATTTTTCGTTTGATTATTTATATATTTTTATATACGTGTAGTAAATATTTATGTTGTAACTTTTTTGTATTTTTTTGTGACTTATTAATAAGTATAAAACAAAAAGGACTTATTTATCTATTTATAGGACTTATATATTTTTTATAGGTTAAAATAATAAAAGCCGTATTAGATCATAATTTCAGTATTTCGTGTTAGAAATAAGAACATTTGTCGTATTTTTGTGACACCCTAATACATATTTAATATAATACATATCATAAAATGAATAACATGGCATGTTATATTTATTTTATGGATATTACAATGTTGTTACGTAAAATATAAGCCTACCAATAAAAAATTTTAGATAATTAAAATTAAAAAAAAACACCCAAAATCCGAAATCCGGATTTTGAAGGTCGCATTTTACAAATCCGGTTTTCTGAACTTCGGAAAATCCGTATTTTTCCCATCACTAATTACAATACTAAATTATTAAACATCAATTTCATACTATATTTAATTGCTATAATAAATATTTATTCATAAATTACCCTTATAAATCATAAAACTTGTAATCAGGATATAAATAAGGAAATAAGCGATCATATTCTTTTTTGGAATAATCCACCAATTTTTTTTATTAAACACTATAGATTTTTATGGAAGCGTTTCTTATGATAGTGATTTTAATCACTGTCAGATTAAATCTATACTGGATCCAACTATGCCATGTACTCAATGTCCTGGTTTTTTTTATATATATATTATTTTTGTCAGCAATGATTAATTAGAATTTAAAAATATACTTGATCTATTGCTTTATCGTTCTTTTAAATTATAAAAATTGGGGTGGTGTTAATTTATTTCCTTTGAATTTTAATTTTAAAATAAACACGTGTGAGTGCTGGGACGGGTTGGGTTATTGCGCGAGTTCGAGGACCATTCTCACGGCTGATCTCGCTCTGGTGCAGGTAGACGCAACGGCTTAAGAACGTGATACTCGTCGTTCCCACGCACAACCATGTGAGATCGGTTGCCAGAGATATCATCCAGAGTGTTCGCTCGATAAACGACCTCAAGCAAACACGTACCCCAAGGGAGGATATCCCGACCGTCAAGTCGTCGAATCGGACGGAGTCTCAGGAGATTGCGGACAGCGAGATTGGTAAACGGGTGAGAAAGTGATAGATGGGAAAGAAAGGAAGTGATGCGGGAGGGGGGCATACCCCAAAATCAAGGACTGTGGCAGCTCAGAGCTTTAGACCGCAGTAATGCCAGTGGTACCACCGATAACGTGGTCGGAGGTGGTCAGGCGCAAGACACCTAAAACGATGGCAGAACTTCGCCTAATGCTGAGCTTGCCCTGGCATTCATGCTATTGGATGTGAAGGAGTGGATAGTGGAACAGGACGTCAAAGAGGCGTAGGCCACTATCTTCTCGAAAGAGGGGAATTTCGCGCCGACCGGCTCAGTCTCAGCCCGACTGCACGGGAGTGGCAAAGGCCGCTACTCATGGTGTGAGGTTCCCTAATAAGGCCGCAACACCGTTGCCGGATTGATCCCACTCGGAGTGAGCATGTGCAGGGTTCGGGTCCTGAAGGACAAGAGACTGTACTGCTACTGGTGCCTCGAAAAGGGGATGTGCAGACGTCTTATAGGGTTCCCGACAGGACCGGCGCGTATTTCGCAAGGACTCCCCTAGAAAGGTGGGAGTGACGGAAAAATCCAATAATTTTAGAAATTCAGACAAATATCTCAAAATTACGCTATTGTAAAAAATGGCCACTTCAAAAAAACTTTTTTAATTAAATATCTTATAATTAATAAGAATATAAATTTCGTTTTTATACTGAATTACACAGTAAAATCAAATCAGTAAAATAAAATATTTTTTGATGATTATAGATCAATTTATAGTTCATTAAACCAAATTATTATGCTGTTTCAAGTCTGAAGTTAGATTTTTTTTATCATCTATTTTTTGAGATTATTACTAATTAGAAACACATAAAAATAGTAATAAAAAAATTTTTTTTTATCTTGTTATTATTAATTTTTAATATGTTAAAAATAACCCGTGCAAAATTTTAATTTAAAATTACTTTTTTTAACTTATATTTTGATTCTTTAAAGTTGATTTTTATAAAATTTTATAATTTAAAAATGTTGAACTTTTAAACATAATTTTAGCTCAACTTGCAAGTTTAGAATTTATACCATTAAATAGAAAATTTTATTTGGAATAAAGTATTCTATTTTTGGATTGATATGTGATCAGAAACTTAAATAATTACTATTAATAGTAAATTAAGTAAATTGATTAAATTAAGGAAAACTCAAAATTTCGATAAAAAGGTTTTATTGTAATAAATCATTTAAACAGAAGTTTTAGTAAGCATTTCTACGGTGTTTAAATAATTGTTCATATTGATACACTACACATAATGCAATCTGCTTGTTACGTATTTTTTTAATTAAAATATATTTATTGATTATTCATACGTAACATAATAATCAAACATAAATATTTGTTATATTGATTAGAAGGATTTTGTTATTATTTAGTCAATATGCAAGACTGTAATGCAGATTTGAAATAGGTGCAAAAACGGGTTAATTTTACTTTTACTGGATTAAATTATTATAATACATTTATTTAAACTGTATTTAGATCTTATTTAAATCCTTCTTATCAACATCAACATTAAAGATTGATAACTGATAGAAGAGGTTAAAAATTTTTAATTAATCATTTAATAAGTTTTAATGATTTGACTTTTAAAGATGTAGATTTTTCATTGCTATGATAATTTTTACGTGGATTGAGAAATATTAAAAAATATAGATTAAAAATATTTTATTTCAGTTAATTTTATTCTTAACATTTTAGTTCAAAAAATAAAATTGTATGATCATATTTGTAAAATAAGCATTTTTTTAGAAATAACTAATCGTGTATTACCAAAAAAAATCTACTTAAATAAGTAAATAATTAATGATGAGTTTTAATAAACATTTCTTAGTACACTCATCAAACAAAAATAATTTTTTTGAAAATGTATTTTCTCATAAAAACGATTGATAAAAAAAATATAATTAATGGTTGTACAGTAATAGGAAGTTGAAACAGAATAGATAAAAATCATCTATTCTGTGGTTGAATGATAAATCTGTAAATATTTTTTTATAGAACTACAATAAAAAAAATTAAATATGAAAAAATTCTTTAGTTATTAAATATAATTTATGCATTCAATGAAAGAAGATAATTTGATGTTAGAAAAATTAAAATGAGGTTGTGTTATAGTCCAAAAGTTTTTTATCGTTTGATATTAAAAAATTGTGTGATATTAAATTGCTATCCTATTCTAACACAATATTAAATTTATTAAAAAAAAAATTGATTAGTGGAATTTGGGGAGTACTTATTATTCTTGTTAACTTGCATCATTAGTTTCATTGTTATACATCATTAACGGGTATTATTAACGTAGTTGATAAAATACATTAAGTTTAGATTTCTTCTATAATCGTCAATTTGATTTTGCAAAATTTATTTGAAATTTTTTTTGACTTAAAAATAAAGCAAAATATAAAGCTGAAATAAATATCAATAAATTGTATATGATGATTTTAAAGAACATTTCAACGTTTTTTTATTACAGTTGGTTATAGATAAAGTAGAGTATATATGAACAATTATACTACCATTAATACCTTATCTGTTTCTACCTACTAAATTCACGATTAATATAAGTTTCTATTTAGGTAAAAAGACTTTTATTATTCTGCTGTTAAGTGAATACATCCTTCTATCGTTCTAACAAAACCTTCAATTTTTACGCTTATAAATTATCAATAAATATATTTATAAAATGTAGCATTCCTTTTCTTTATTATTATTATTTATTACTGTTAATTATTACTTAAAATAAAAATAATCGACTTATAATTTTTAAAAATCCTTGATACACAACGATATTTATAGTACATTGTCTCTGTGATTTTTTTTCATAAAACTTTTGGGTATTTAGATCCATAAAAATTTAAAGAAATTTCTCTATGTCTAAATGTTATAAGTAAATAAAGTTGAATTTAAAAATTGCGAATTCTTGATTGTTTTGACTTAGTAAATTATCCGTTACAATTATCTCATTTTACAATATAATTTTTTTCTTATAACATAAATTTTAATAAAGCTTCGAGAATGCAATAATTATGTAGTAATATTTTTTTTTGAAAACAGCTGACTTAATATACAGAAAAATCATCTCTGTCTCCTAGACGTCTTGCACAAGAGGGATATGTCGTTGCCGATGAGCGCTGAGTACTACCTAGAATTGATGTTAGACCGTTGTTGGTCATCCTTTTTATAATTTTTCATAAATCATTTGCTGCACAGCCTTCGTTCACGGCCTACCGGTCGTCGTTCCTGTTATAGTAATTTTTTTTTCATTTAATTTTAAAAATCACATGATTTTAATAAACAATATCAAAATCTAATATTTAATATATAATAATATATATTAACAAAATAACAAAATTATTTTATCGACATGGCGGCGGAACTTAACGTGGATATGAATTACGCCATAATGACTATCAGTTCACAAATAATATACAAGCCTTCGGATCAAAATCAAGACCCTGAACCTGACAATGATCATGAGGTTTACGTTGGAAATCTACCACTATATTACACCATCGAAAAGTTCATAAACTTTTCTAAGTAATTTATTTAAAATTTCTAAAAAAAATGTACGTGAGTCTTTAAATTCTAACTGAGAAAATTGTCTTTCGTGTTAGTAAAAAATGTTTAAATAATGTACTCGTACTCCATTATAAGGTTTCTGTTATTAGTCGTCATTAATTATTAAACAAAGAAAAAAAAATTGATATTTTAATATAATTTCTTATTTTTAAAAAAGATTTTTTTAAATCGATAATTACTAAAATATCGATTTTTAGGTATATTGTAGAAGTTGATAAATTAAAAATTTATTATTTAAGTTAAAAGATAAAATTACTAATAATTTTAATTAATTTCGAATAAAAATAAATAAAATATTTTTAAAATTGTTATCATCATTAAATTAGAAAAAATATATATTTTAAGTATGTAGAAATAATTTTGTTAGTTTTCTGTTTTTTTTTGGTTTTATTAGGGTAGTATTTGCTCTAATAAAACTTTCTTAGTGTGGTCAATTTTTATTATTATTTTTATTGTTTTTATTGTTTTATCTCATTAATGGTGAAATTAGTATAAAGAAAAATGTTATTAAAAAATTTAATTTTAAATTAACTATCTTCTGTAAGTTTAAAGATATTTTTTGAATAAACCAGTCAATGTTTTTTATATAAAGAATACATCATATAATTGAAGTATTTATTACTCATTGTTTAAACTATGAAATAATATCTAAATATCTAGTGTTTTTCCTTTTCAGAAAGCCTGGGCCAATTTATAGTGTAAGGTTACTTAAAGGAAATGGAGGTTTAAATAAAGGTTTTGGTTACATTATGTACAGAAACTTGGCTACTGTTGATATTGCTATTGATATGTATAATGGGATTCTCCTCAATGAAAGTGATATTAATAAACCTTTAATAGTGCAAAAGAGTTTACGAAACACTATAATGATGATTTATGGACTTTCTCAAAGAATTAGTATTAAACAGTTTATTAAACAAGTATTACTTCTTTTATAATAGCAAATATTTTTATTATTTAAAATAATTTTTTTATTTCTTGTTTTTGTTTCAGGAAATAAATTTGTTTGTACTAAACCATCCTTCATTACTATTAAAATTTGAATGTGAAGATGATTCTAAGATATTTTTATCATTTAAATCTCTGAAGTAAATCATCAATAGTGAATCTTATTATTAGTATAATATTTAACAAATTAATCAATACTTTTTTTTTTTTAGGGCAGCACAGATCTTTAAAAAAAAGCTTAAGGAATCATTTAGTAGATATGGAGTAAAAATGTACTATTTTAATGATACTGAGAATTGGGTAAATATTTTTGATGATAAATTATATTGCGTTATTGAAAAATAAATCAATCGTAGAGTTAACAAAATAATCATACTAATTTAATTTTTTTTTAAGTAGTGAATAAATTTATACTTATTGTAAATGTATTGAAATCAAACTCAAATCTCTTGATGTGGCTTAATAACTAGGGTGATTTTTAATTACCCACCCAAATTCAAAATGACCAATATCTATTTATAACATTCTTTTATTTAAAGAAAAAAATATATTGTAAATGTATAAACATTCATTTAAAATAATTTTTTCTAAGACATTAAAAATTAAATCTATAATTAAATATGTATCAATTTTTATTCCCTAAAAAAAATTATGTAAACTATCTAGTTGTAAAATAATCATTTTTTCTTTGTTAATTACAAGATTATTTTTTAGAAAAATTAAATTATATATAATACATATTTATGGTGATGGATAACTTTTATAGGTTAAAATAGCAAATATAGTTAATAACATTAACTTAATGAAGTAGGTATTTAATTATAATGAAATTTTAATATTTTGATATGTAGTTTAAAATATTATCAATATTGAAGTATTTTTAAAAGATTGTCCACCTTATAAAATTTTTCCTATGCTGATCCTATTGGTTTAAAATAGTAAGAATATTCACAGAGCTAGAATTTGTAGACTCTAGATTTACAAAAAAATAGCATATTTTTTACTTCAGATGATACTGTATTAGTTTCTAATTGTAATATGGCCCTAGAAATTCATTAATATAATGAATAGCATAAAAAATAATTGTTCAGAAAATTTAATTCAAAAATAATAATTTAGGGAATTGAGAATGTATTGATTTAATGATTAGACATTTATTTTAGCATGATAATTTAGTTAGATTATAATTTATGTAGATGATTTATTAGTAGCTAGAGCTGCCGTCAAAATTTAATACGTATTTTAATTTTGGCTATGCACAAAAAAAAATAGTTTAGTTTTATTTCCTATAAAATTTATACGTAACCTTTAATAAGTTAAAAATGTTTTATTTTTAGCATTAACACTCAAAGAGGGATTCAATTGTACCCCTTAACCAATTCAATTGTACCCCTTTTTATTCCATAGCACCACACTAAACACCAAGTATATATTTTTTATCTTTATTGTTATTTCTCCCAAATAAGAGTGTTATCAAGTAAGTTATTGAAATTAATATTAATAGTACATTTGCTGATGTACTAATTAGGGAACTTTAATAGAAGAACAATTGATATTAAGCCTTAACTGAAGGTATAGGGACGCTGTCCTTATGATTAATACTGAAAAATAATTTTTGCACCCTCTGAGATATTATTATGAGTATACCTGAGCTTTAAAATGTTTTCTAAAACGCATATATTAAACAAACAAATCGGAATAATATTATAAAAGTTTACAATCACTATATTGTTCAATATGTAATTACCAAATACATAAATACTATATATTTAAATTAAATACTATTCATGAACAAATTAGCTTTCAATTAGTCATTTAATTTAACCATGACATAGGCGCGGTTTTTATGATAACAATAATTATATGATAAGCGTTCTTTCAACTGATAAAGTTACAATAATCACATTGTAACTGTAACAAGTAACTGCATGTTATTTAAAATTTAGAATTTTCTCACAGATACAATAAGTTTTATAATACATTCGAAATGTCTTGCGCTACTTATGAAACTTACGTTTCGCCATTATCTACAAGATACGCTTCTAAAGAAATGAAGTATAATTTTAGCGACAAAAAAAAATTCACTACCTGGAGAACTCTTTGGAGTTTGTTAGCCCAAGCTGAAAAGGTAATTTTAGTATTATTAATCCTTTTACACAAAAACAGTTTTAGTATATTTCCATTTTTAATACTTAAATACAAGACTCAAAATTTGAGTCATTAAAATTGGAATGTAGTTTATTATCTAATAACTACTTGAATACTCTGATTTTCAATTTTTTTTTTTGTGAATTATGTGGGCATAAGTTTACTTAAAATTGGTATAATTTTTTTTTTAATTTATCTAAAATTAGGTTTCAAAGTAGAAGAAAATGAAAATAGACCTAGCACCATAAAACCTTAAATTTAAATTAATAATAATTTTTTCTTTTTATGATACCTAACTGAAATTGAAACTTCTAAATTTAAAGTTTTTTTAAAAACTTAAAATGTTGTATAACTGAATAATATATTGATTATACACATTAAAACGTCTATATTATGGTTTCAAATTTTAACAGTGAAATTATCCAATTGAATATATTAGACTTAAAATTTATTGTAATATCAATAGTGTTTATTAATTAGGGATGGTCAATAACTAGACTAGTTAAAATACTAGAGTATTCATCCTATATGCAAGTATAAGAATATAAAACAATTATAAACTTATATATCCGTGAATTAGTGCAAAAAATAATTATGTGCTTTTTTTGACAAAATTAAGAATGTTTGTGTCATTTTATTAACCTCAGAGTACATTTTATTATTTATAAATTTGGAAAATAAAAATTCAACATTTGGTTAATAGATTGCATAAAATAATTAATAATATATAATTGATATAAGAAAAAAAATTCAAACTGCTCCCTTGAAAAAAGGCAAAAACTATTTTATACTAGTAATATGTCACCAGATGTACTCATTTTTCAATTTTTGCCTTTTGGCGTTTTAAATTAATTATTGAAACTTGGATGCTTAAATGTAAGTATTATTTATTTATAAAATTTATTTAAATTGTAAAATAAGTCTTAAAAATATAAAAAAATTGTCATTTGTTTTATAAGTGTAGTATTTTACTAAAATGATCTCAATTTGTCTTGATTTTTTTCTTATAAATTATGGTTATACAAGACCAAATTTTTGAAAACCAAAAAAATAACAAAGAAAATTATCTGATTTCTTATAATATTTTAAAGCATTCTGTCAAAAAATTTTAAATAAAGTTGAATCTTAACCTTCTATTATACTCAAATCCTTTACTTTATGTGTAAATTGTGTTTATAGGCAATAATTAAGCTTAAATCACATTATTTAATAATTATTTATGTTTAAATATTTTTTATTTACTGTAGAAATTACCATTAATTTTTATAAATTTACCTAATTTTATGAGTATTTGATTATTAATTTAATTTTAAAATTCCATGTCTAAACTAAACATTTATACTTTTTATTTTAAATAAGAATTATTCTTAGTGATTCTATGATAGTGGCATTATGTACTAGTTTTGTCTTTACAAATTAGATAATTTATAAATCAAATATACATCTAATTATATTTATTATATTAATATCAATTAACATACATTTATATATCAATGAATGTATAAAGTGATTCTTTTAATACTAGACACTCAATTTTTTTTTTTTTATCATGCATTATAATAGACCTAATGAATAATTTATGACTCATGTTTAATGGTTTGGATGTATCATAAACTTTGATAACTGACAAACAAATTTCCAATATATCTGCATTCATCTGTTACAAAATATTTTTTATGTTAATTCCTTATGTCTTATAGGGATGTCAACTTGAATTTTTACATACATATACAACTAGATTATAAAATTAAATATGATTTACTTAAGAAAATAAGTAGCCTATAACAACTTTTTGGAAGTACTTTCAGAAGTTATTAACAATTTAAAATATTAATATGAGGTGAGTAGCAGATACTACTATTTTATACCTGGAATTTTCTTAGCCTAATTCAGTCTATCACCTTGGTATAAATATGCTAATAACTTTCGGATGACTGGTCCTATAGTTTTTTATCGACCAGTCATTTTCTTAATTGCATTATTTTCTGTTTTAAAATCTAGCAAAATATATATGTTTCCATTTGAAAAACTATACTCTATACCGCTATAAGGCATAAGGAATGAACATAAAAAGTATTTTTTAACAGATAAATGTAACTAATAAAATCAAAAAAAATTAACTATTTTAAAAGAAAATGAGTAGTTAGTGTTAAAATAATCATTCTTTATACTTCAGTATAATTTAAATACTGAAATCTTAGATTATTAAAAACAAATTTATATAATATTTTAATTGTTATTCATTTATGTTCATTATTAATATGCATGTAAAATAATTTAACATTTTTTATACTACAGTTGTTATTAGATTTTATTTAGTTAGTTGCTTGTAGAAGTTTTTCCGTTAGCTTTAAATAGTTCAATTATTTTGATTAGTGATATTCAAGTCAAATTAATTTTTTGTTTCTAATTTTATAATAAAAAAATGAATAATTAATACAAAAAAAATTTCATTTATAATTTTATTTTTCTTATAAAATTATTTTCAACTTTATTGTTTTAGTAGTTGTTTAAAGTTATCATTGAAGATAATTTTATAATAATCTTAAAATATCTGTTGCTTAATTTATTTATTAAATAAAATAATAGTATTATTAAAATACTTTTATTAAATTTTGTCATTTTTTTTTTTCATGTTTATTGTTTTTCAAAATTAAAGGAAAGGTGGGAAGATTTAAAAAAAAATATTTCAATTAATCCACAAGGAAATAGAGTGCGCTTTGTTCCTATTGTTTCTAGTAATACTAATCGTACAAATGTGATGTCTATAAATCCATCCAAAGGGTTGCTATTCAAACCATTTAAACCAAAGCATATTAATAACTCTTTAAGTAAGGAAAATACAAACATATTGGATCCAGTAAATTCAATTAATAACAATTCAAAAACGCATCTTAACACTAGCTATGAGGATTTTAATTTTTCTTCGTCAACTGATGAAAATAAACTTAAAAATACAATTACTCAATCACATTATGTTGGACCAGTAATAAAACAACATAATTCTACTTCAAGTAGATGTAATATAAGCTCACACAACTATAATATGCCTATAAAACAACCATACTCTTTATGGAACAGCAGTAAATATTTTTCTGACATTGAACAAAAAAAATTTACTAATAATAATATTTTTAGACGACCTTTATCATTACTTGATTCAAACTGTCCAATTCAAAAATTACAAAAATCTTGTAATTTCATTAGACCAACCTTGCAAAATTCATCTATGACATCAAGTTCTTCACATTCAAAACCATCTCATTTAATAACAAATTCTACTGATCTTAACATTCAACCAACACCTGTACAATTAAAATCGTCTTTTCCTTCTAATTTTCCCAAACAAACAATTAGTACCCCTGATACAAACACTGGATTTTCTGATTCAAGTTCTTTTAATATTGAAGAAATTTGGCAAAGCATTATTCAGTGTCAACCACCAAATTTGTGATTTTTTAATTTATTTTTGCTATAGAAGAAACCTTAACAATGCTGGAAAGTAAATAAATTTGAATTCAAGAACATATTAGAAAAATAATTGTAATTTCTAAGTATGTTATTTAGATTTTATCTGTTTAAAATTATATTATTCAGTTATATTGAATGATTCAATAACTTTTTGCACTTTATTTAAATAGTTTTCAATTAATATAAAAATAATATTAATATGTATAATTAATACTTGACAAAATAGATTTTAATTATTTTAACAATAGACTTTATAATATTAACTTAGATACATTATTTTATACTCATGTTTACAAGACTAATTTTAATGAAATGTGAAGTAATAATAGTGTTCCTTATATGAACCTGATTTTGTTATTTTTGTATAGCTAGTTGAATTTCTAGCATGACTTTGTATAAAAATTATTATTTACGTATTAAATACTGCATTTTAAGATATGATTTTATTTTGTACAATAAAATTCATCTTGTATACATGTTTTTTTAATGATTAGAATTAATAAATTATATCCGTATGTGAATGGTAAAATCAACTAAATAGTTATTGAAGTACAAACAATTTATTATAAAAATTAAATTAAATTCCTAATGTAAAATAAGTACAATAAAAAAACATGAAATTTAGTTACTCCTAAAATTAAAGTAATCGAGTAGTTTATACCGTGTATAGCTTCACTGTTAATTCAGACTAGTACTTAAATAGTAGACAGTCTAATCAATAATTTTGTGAAAGAAGAGGGAAAATCACGTAGATTTAATTTGAATTATCCGTATTTGAATGTCAAAACAAAGTCTGTAATATACGTCATAGATGTTAAGGCAGTTGTTATTGCCGACGATATCATTAGGTCCATTCTGTACTTGGATGGCCGGATTTGCACAGCAAATTGTAAAGCTCTCCAATCAGAAAATATCACCATGGCAGCAATTGCCAACATAGCCCCATACCAACAAGAAACTACCAAACACTGAAACAACAATAAATTGTACATGTATTTAACGACTACCAAATTTGAAAATGTAGTTTTTTAGTAACTCACTGGTTTCTTTGGAATCCGTTGTTGTAAAAAATGGCTAGCTATTATTAAAAAGTTAATAAGGATGGCGCCAGACAGTGCTGAGTACACAAATCCTGCCCGACCTGTGCTTGTATGTAGCCTGGAAGAATACGGGCTTACAATCAAACCCATGCTGGTCAATCCCAATAGCTGTAAACATTTATACCATTCATTCATATTAAAAAAATGTCAACTGTGGTCCAAAAAAAAATTAATTACAATTTCAATATAAAAAAAACTGTATTTTTATTAAAAAATTATTATTTGTTACATAAAATACGTATAGCACTAATTTTGCCATTTAGAAGTATGAGTAAATTCATCAGGAATAATATACTTTATAATTTTTTTGATTCTTAGAGCGTTTGATATTTTCACTATTTATTTAAAAGTGATACACAATTATTATTATTGACGACGCATTATTTGAGGATACTTACTATTTCTACGACTTTGATGAGGAAAGGTGATGCTGCCAGCAGCGATTCTTTCAGCGACTTTTCATTCGCCATGTCTTTATGGTAGTTTGGTTGTTACTAGAACTTCACCAACCTAACAGAAATGTTTCTATTGCACGAGTGGGTGGATATTATCACAATCCACCAAGTGCCTCGAGGAAGGGGTGTGCTATTTAATTGGTATTAATACGCGTAAACGATAATAACAGATCTTTAATGCGGCCTATACACTTCTATCCGCCCGAATAATTACGGAATCTCTTTCTCTGTTTTCTCAATTTATTTGTTGTACACCAACTAGTGTTTTCATTAAACGTATTAATTTTGTCGTAACCAGCGAAAAAAGTGATCTCCCTCTTAGTCTATTGGTACCATGTTACACCCAGCTCGTAAACACTTATGCCATAACAATTAAAGGTTTCTATATTTGAGTTATTTATTTTATTAGAAATATCATCGTACTAATAGTACAAAATATTTGCACTAGGATGACATCGACAAGTATCACAATGTTGGGTGTATCAGACTTTATTTATGGAAAATGTCATATGAAAATTAATGTTTGTATTTGAAAAATACAACTTTGGTGTGAACGCTACCCAAGAACGTTAATATGTTTTTTTCATCTGGCAATTTCGCCGGTTTCCTTTATCATGGAATTTTCTATTTTCATTAGTTATTTCCTCATAATATTCCGCGAAACCAATCAATTTGAAACGTATTTAAATTATTTGACGACGTTGTTGCTGCAATTTGCTCTATAGTTTTAAGTTAAAATTAAAACGCAGAAAGCAAAACTATTTAATGTTATTGTGTCATGTAATTTTACGATTTTCTCTAAAAAAAAATAAAATAAACTCATTGTAGTCAATGAACTGAGGAATAACTGCTTAATGTATTCAAATGACTTATGTCACAATGAAAACTTATTATTTTCATGACATGGGTTTTTATTTTATCGTTGACGTCTGTAAAATAATTTTGCATAAACTTACCATGTAAACTTCATAACTCCATAATGTGAGAAACAAATTTTTTTATAGTTTCAGTGAATTCATAAATGATTGTATTATAAATTTCGTATTCGTATATTATATTAATTATTTCTGAAAAAAATATATCAATTTAAGTATAAATGTGTGATATGTATGAGATAAAATTGTATTTAGTTATTTTATCTCATGGCCATATTTGTTCAGTAAAACTTACGTTTATTCAAGTAAACATTCCTAATTAAATTACTGTTTTCAGATTCTTTGTAGTTTGTTTTATAATTGTAAAACAAAGTATGAAACTTTTATGTCGACTACTAATTTTTTTGATGTATTTCGTACTAAGAGGCGCTGTCATTTTGGCCAATTGATTATTTCAGTATGAATTTTAATTAAATTAGTACATTTTTCTAAAATGATCTATACAATTTGAAAGCTTTTGTTTATTTTCTATAATGATATTTTTCTTCTTTTTTTTTTTTATGATCACTTTATTTTATTTTAAAATACTTTAATGTACTTTGAGTACACGTTACTGAAATTTCTTTATATTCTCCCTAAATTAATATATTATTATTGAAATATATTTTTCATAATTTCCTATTTATTAGATAACTTTTTATATTTGTATATTTTTTGGGTAGCTTTGACTATAGTTAAAAAAAAATCTTGCAGTTTTTAAAGTTTTGTCTTCTGAGACTCTTATTACAATATTATATTCTATAACTCCTCATTAATAAGAAACGACTAATGATGTATTTTAAGCTTTTATGCATAGCTAAGGTGCTATTGGTTTTACTTTGCCTTTTTTTTTACTTATTTTGCTCAACAATACGTCAAAAGACCATACGTTATAATTTAAAAAAATTCACCTCAGTCCCGAAAAATTAGAGTTGTCATAAAACTGTCAATATTGATATTTTATTAGTCACTTTATATGTATTGAAATAGCTTTTTGAAAACTGGATAGATTTTTGCGAAATTTATAATGATAATATTTCAATCATTTACCTAAGCGGAGATATATATTTATTGAAAATGTGTAATCCAAAAGTCAGTAGGCGTTTAATCATATCAAATTTTTTTCTTTTCGAATTTTTTAAACCTTATTCAAATTAAATATAATTAATGTATTTTAAGATGAAAAAATAAAAACTATCCGAAATCATGATTTCTAGGTGTCATTGAACATTAAAGTCAAAAATTATAAAATTAGCATATTTTGTTATTGAGTGTTGTATGCTAAGTGAAGATCTATGTTATAACAATTCAAAAAATGAATGTAAATGTAAAATGGTAGTTTTCTACAATTACTATGATTAAAATAAGATTAGTTATTAGTTTATCTTGAATGAGCATGAAAATAATTGAGTTTATTATTTATTGAATAAAATTATATAATATAATTTTCTCTTGGGATTTGAGTATGAGGGTTTTATGAGAAGATTAAAATATAGAATAACAAAGTGATGTTTAACAATTTATTAATATATTAATAATTTGAAATAGAAATTATTGTGATTAATTATCACACATAAATGATCAATAACGCCACTTGTACTGTAGTTATCTAAGCTTGTGCTGACTGTGAGTCGTGTCAATAAATACCTCGAGTAGTATAGGAACCACAAGTGGGTTCTCAACCTTCGCAAGAGAGTCTTTATTTTTATTGACCACACAGATAACCCACTCAAAGATTAGACTAGGCCGGTTAACTCGATGGTTTGTGAAATTATAAATTTGTCGAGCCACTTCTTACACTTGTTAAAAGTTAATAAAATCAAGGAGAAGTGGGTCGCATTGACAGTTTTTATGCCCTATTATATTAAATTTAATTCATCTATATGTGCAAGAAGTGTCACGACCTTTTACTAATATCTGTTTATTACTCAATTATGTTAGTTATTACTTATTATTTTACTTAAAATAGATGATTTGTCACAGCTTAAAAATTCCTTATAGTTATTACGTTCGATTTGTATAAATGTATTTTTAGACACATTTCTCGGAATACTTTAAAGTATTAATATAAATAATATATATTTAATTTGATGACTAATGATTTATAGAATACTGAATAAGGAGTAGTGTATATATTATAACAGTAACATTCAGAACTAAATAAAATTAAGATTTTTCCGTATATTATACAATTAAAAAAGAAAGACGTTTTGACGGCTATTCTTCTATAAGTAATCAGACTCTAAACTTTATAATGACATAATTATGGTCGATATGATAAACCGCTCTATTTGAATAGATATTTAGATCAAAATAAAATTTTTAGTAGTAATATTTAAGACAAGTATCTTACTTCTAACATATTTTTTTTTGAAAAACTTATCAATGCCAAAGTAATGTGAGCGAGGAGGCATAATCAACATGACAAATTCTTTTATTTTAAACATTTTAAATAATAATCGATTTCGTAATATTATGCACAAAATGGAATCCTTACACAATAAATTATTTAAAATTAAAGCTTGTTTAACGTAATATATGATTAAAAACCTCTCTAATGTTAGAATTCATGTAATTTTTGGTAGATATGTTTATTTTTTTTTTTAAATATGTTTCAAATACATATCAAAGTGTTATATGACAGTGATTTTAATCACTGTCAGACATCAATCAATAGTTATCTAAAAAGTACCTCAACTACTCTTTATTGAATATCTCTGTACTCAACATTTTTAATTTTAAATGTTTACTAATGTTGAAAAAACTTTTATTTAATATTGAGACTGCATTAAACATTCCATAAATACTAACTCAATATTATTTAAAAAAAAAATTCTATTTATGAGTTAGCAGCGAAAAGGAAGCTTCTTATTTTACATATATTTTTTTAATTAGCAAATTGTATCTTTTTATGATAACAATATGAAAATAACATCTTATAATTTTGTCAAATTTTACAATGTATAAACAGCGTCATTTTATATTAAATGATAGATTGATTTTATTATTTACCTTAGTATTACATAATTAATTTACAATGTTTTACTAAATTATCGATACTAAATTGAACACGATACAAAGTAATAAAATACTGTAAATTTATCTTATCAATTATTTATATACAAAAAAATAAACGTTTATAATATAAACTTTATATGGATGGAATGGACGATGAGAAAGATAAATACAATCAACATGTGCGGTACTTAAACTAATGATAACTAAGTGTAAACACAAATCTTCAGTATTGTTTATTCATAGTACATCTTAAAATAATTAAATCTATTTTAAAAATTTTTAGGGAGTAATTTTTTTTTTAATATTACATAAGTATTTAATCTATTCGAAATACATTTCTCGTGCAAAGTGAATGAACGACAAAACTGTGTCTCCTAAGTAAATAGCTCCCGAAAGTACACATAACGAACCTAAAGTGATACCGACGGCTTTCTCTGAAGTGACACCAATGTATTTGTTCTCGTTTTGATATCCTATCCAATAATGAAGTGCTATTCCTCCAACAGCGATATATAAGAGCATACCCGCAAAGTTCATAATGATATCCTGTAATCATTGGTTTTATTCAGAAGTTAAACAATTTTACATTAGTTATTAAATAAACAATAATGCCTTTTTACTTACCACCAATGTCTTCTTCTGGTGATTGGAACCAAATCCATAAGATATTAATATAACCAAAGTGTATATGAAAAATCCAACGAATACTCCAGAAGCCACAATTTCCGCATCGGGATTTTTTTCTTCATTTAGGTTCCAAGTACCACCCACTCCCAAAAACTGTCCTCGATAACCCGTCCTATACATCACTAGTATTATGATGTTTAACACCTAAAAATATTAATTTGATTGTGTAGTATGATAGGGAAACAGAAGATTGTATTTATGGGGAAGGCGAGCCCCACCCAATATGCATACAACCACCAAGTTATTAAACAAATGTTTCTTTTAGAAGAATTTTAACCGAAAAAAGTTTCTTCAAAAATAATATTAATCACAAAATTATTAAAAAAAAACTTTCTTTAGCTATCTCCCCAAAAACTTATAAAACTTATGCGCCTGGATTAGTACGTTAAGAAACTTATAAAACAAACATACCAGTTTAACAACCTTGATGACCACTGTACCAACGCTTTCTATGTTCACCATTTTAATTCAGTCGAGAATTATTATATAATAAACGGTTCCGTTAATTATAACAGCGTAGTGAATAGTGTTTTTTTGTATACTGATGTCGACAGCATGACTTAGCAAAGCTCCTTACATGACATCCGTTCAACGTTATCTTGTGTTTTTCTTTATTTTGTCATAGCAATTCGTTGACACATCATTGCTCTGTATAAAGGTGTTGGCATCATCGGTACTTGAGTAAAAGATAAGATTACTTTTTACAACACGTTAGATTTCAAACTATTAGTTGTTTACACTATAGTGATTATATATAATCCGTCACTAATAATGTTTTATTATATTAGCAATTTGTTATTATGGTATATTATACCTGGTGTTACTCATACAGGTTTTTTATAATGATGCACACACCAATTCTTGAAGTTATTGCATAACTAAGTTTCATTTTTTTAGTAAGATAAAAACGTTAAGTATGTCGTTAATTTTCATTATTGAACATTGTTTTTATCAATTTTTTTAGGAACTTGGTTTGGATATAACTGACGAACAGGTTAAAGAATTACGAGATAATATTGAAAATGTCGACTTTGTGGCTGCCGCCAATGAGGAAAAACTCACTCGACATGATATTATGGCTCACGTGCATACATATGCCCAGTGTTGCCCAACGGCAGCGCCTATCATCCATCTAGGAGCCACATCATGTGATATAGGGGACAATGCTGTTAGTAATATAGAATTCCAATAAGTAGTGGGTTTTTTAAGCATAAATAATTACTTTTTAGGACCTGGTAGTAATCAGAGATGCTTTTGAAATTCTTCTACCAAAACTAGCTGGTTGTATAAAGGCTCTAGCTGAATTTGCTAACAAACATAAATCTTTGGCTACTCTAGGTTTTACTCATTTTCAGTAAGTTTGCAGAATAATATGGAAAAATTTAAAAATTTTTAGTTATTTATTTCATTGCTATACTAATCGCCTATCTTAAATTTTTGTTAGACCAGCTCAGTTGACAACTGTTGGGAAAAGAGCGTGTTTATGGCTTCAAGACTTGTTGTTATGTGAAAAAACTTTAAGTCGAGTATGTAGTGATCTTAAATTTCGAGGAATCAAAGGAACTACTGGAACACAGGCATCATTTTTACAACTTTTTAATGGTATTTTTTGTTTAGTTAATTATATTTATACACACTGTTTACCAAATTGTATATAATTTTATAGGTGATTATGAAAAAGTAAGAATGTTGGATGAAAAAGTTACTAATTTTGCTGGATTTCAATCGTCTTACTCTGTAACTGGTCAAACATATCCTAGAATAGTTGATGCAGAAGTCGTTTCATCTTTAAGTATGCTTGGATCTGCTGCTCATAAAGTATAAAATTTGTGGAAACAACAATATTAATATAATTTTTCATTTCTAATTTAAGTTTAAAATAATTAATCATTATAAAACTATATATTATAATATTTAACTATAAATTTTATATTTACAGTTGTGTACTGATTTGAGATTGTTGGCTGGCATGAATGAAATTGGTGAACCCTTTGAAACAACTCAAATTGGTTCCAGTGCAATGGCCTACAAGCAAAATCCAATGAGAAGTGAAAGAGTATGTTCTATTGCTCGTTATTTGATGAATTTAGTTAATAATCCATTGAATACTGCATCAGTTCAATGGTTAGAGCGTACATTAGATGACAGCGCAAACAGGTTATTAATCTTAAATATACACACTGCATTTTTACTAGTTTAATATATTAAAAAAAATTTCCTTTTTATATTTATTACAGACGTCTTTGTTTATCAGAGGCATTTTTAGCTGCTGATAGTATAATGTTGACATTACAAAATATCCTCGAAGGATTGACTGTATTTCCTAAAGTTATTTCAAGAAATATTGATAAAGTATTACCATTCATGGCAACAGAAAATATTATCATTGCAATGGTAAAAGCTGGTGGAGATAGACAAGTAAATTATCTAATAAATTATAATTTTTTAATTATACAAAACTGAGAATACTTAATATAAAATAGGTTTTTGTTAAAATTGAATAGTGATATACAAAAAGCATTCATCTCACATTAAAGACTCTGCTTCATAACATAATTTATTTAGATATCTTTATTAATATAATCATGAAGTTAGTTTTTTTTTTTTTAAGAAATTCAAGGAATATAAGTTAAAGTAGGAAATTAAAGCATGATTTCAGAGATGTATTTCTTCTTAAGTAAAGCAGCTACTTCAAATTTGGGCTTCAATTTTGAGAAAAAATGTACTAGTTATCCCTTGTCATCCAATAATTATTTTTATTATAAATAATAAATAATAATTTATTATAAACAAAATTTCATGTTGGCTGTTTTTTTTTAACAAGGTATGTTAATATATAATTTTTTTTTATTTTTGATAAAATATCAAAAAAGACCCTACTTACAGGTAACTTCCCAGGGGCCATTCAATACTTTCTTCCATCTTTTACTTAAATTTCTTGAACTCTAAAATATTTTTTTAATAAAAAGATACATATATTTTCAATTTGTATATTTTAAAAAGTCAAAATAAAATTTCTGTATATTTATGTTCTACATAAGTAATATTCAATATTTGTTAATCACAAAATTTTAAAATAAAACTGCATTAAGTTTTATTAGTATCTTTTAAAATAATATTTCTTTTTATAAATAAATTTAGTTTACTTTTATATTAAACCATTAATGTGTTATAATTAGATTTATTTAATAGACTGTCTTCACTAACATTAATATAATTTTAGGTTTGTCATGAAAAAATTCGTATTTTGTCATTGGAAGCCGCCAATACTGTTCGTGTTGAAGGTCAAGATAATGATCTCTTAGATCGAGTAATGAAAGATCCATATTTTTCTCCAATACTAGATCAGCTGCCACAACTTTTAGATCCATCAACATTTATTGGATGTGCTCCTAATCAAGTATATAATAATCTTATATACAACTTTTATACATTAGTTAAAACATCTATATTACAATAGGTGAAATATTTTTTGGAAGAAGAAGTGAATCCAATTGTTAACAAATATGTTTCTAAAATTAAAACAACAGCTACAACATTAGAAATTTAATGTGCTGAAATACTTTTTCAATACCTATCAATATATATTAATTTTGTGAAATTGTATTTTTAATATCTAGTTGCATTTTATTATTACCTTATTAAAGAAAAAGTTTATGTAGTTTTATATGATGTATTAGTCTAAACTAAAAAATTTATTTAATTTTAAAATTCTATTATCATTGTTAAAAAATTATATTTTAAATATAATTCTACTATTACTACTACTACTTTGTCTATGTGTATGTTTTCCTTTTAGGAAAATTAATAAATAAAATTTAATAAACAATTTTAAAATGTATACATGCACTTACTTTGCAAATCATGTTAATATTAAAGTAAACAAATTATAAAATACTATATATTTATACAGTATATTTTTAAATATTTTAGCTTTCATCTCTAATAAGAATGTTATCTTAAGTTGTTAAACTTAAATTCAGGATTAATTGCAAACAATTAATTATTACATAAGCTAGGGCTAAGAACAGAAACCCAAATATCAGGTTTGGAAAGTCTGATTATCAAAAGATTTTTTTTGTAATGTTGGTACATATGTCATTGAAGTATTATAAAACTTTCAGCTGGATTCATTCTTGGCTATGTCAGTGGCACCCGCTAAGTTTAGACTTGTTTGTTTTTATGTGCTCGGCGATTTACGTTTGTTAAAATAAATGGATCAAAGCATTTGTATCAAATTTTGCATAAAGAATTAAATAAATGTAACAAAGTATGTGAAATTTAATAAAAGCCCAGTGGCGCCGGAACCTATAGGAGGTATATCAAAATACGAGGGGGCAAAAGTATTATTATACCCTTCCAATAGAATTTGGGGGAAAAAAATTGCAATAAATCTGGAAATTAATATAACACTACCATACTTAATTACTTAGCTATTCAGATTTTAAGATTAAAAAGTGTTAATGCATTTATCTAACTCCAGTTGAATATCAAAAATCCCAGTACAGTGGAGACGTGATATAGTTGGGTCTAGTATAGATTTAATCTGACAGTGATTAAAATCACTTTCATAAAAAATGCTTCTGCCACTGTGACATCTTAATTTTCTTCTACAAGCAACTAATTAAATAAAATCTAATAACAACTGTACTGTAAAAAATGTTGAATTTAAATTATGTCACAAGTATATTAATAATGAATATAAGTGAATAATTATTAAAAATATCATAAAAATGTATTGTGATTAAAGCAAATATTCCGTTACTATGTGAAAAACTACAAAATCTGCATTTTTTACGGACAATCGTAAATTTTAAGTTTAATAATCAATAACTCATGAGAAACTAGATTTAGGATAGTTTTTTGTTTTCATCATAAAGTACATTGTATGAGGTTTAATTTAATATATGTCATAAGAAGAAAGATTTTGTAGAACAAAATCAAAAATTGAAAACAAAAAATTCTTCATTTAATTTTTAAGCCAACACGGTAAAATTTTATAAAGATTTAAAACAAATTTTTTTGCAAAAATTGGTTATTTTTTATCCATTTTCTTCTAAAAGAAAAATCATCGCAACAATTTTTTTTAATATTTATTATATTTAAAAAGCCATAACTTGGTACAAGCTTAAAAAATGCAAAAAACGTTCTGGAAAAGATCAAAAATTAAAATAAAATAAAAATTTGACACGCGTAAGTTGGTCTTGTTCAAAGTCATATTATATTTAAGTTTTCTAATGGATTTTCATGAAAATGAAATCTTATTGTCTTTAATATATTTTACAAAAATTTAATAATGATCCAGCCAGTTTTTTTAGTGTTATTGCAATTTCAAAATATAAAAACAAATTGTGATCTTTCCTATTTTCAACGGCGGCCAAAATGCGTGATTTACGATTTTTTAGATTACTAAAATTAAGAGTTTTCTTAATTTTTAAAGGTGATATATTAAACTAAAAAAATTAAATTCAGCATCTTAAAACGTATTAATCCGGTGAGAACTGAGAACTTTTATTTAGAGATACAAAAAAAACACACATGGTAAATAATATAAATTCTTAGCTTGAAAGTTAAAGTCAATAAATATTTTTATATCAACATTGAATTTAATTAACTTCGTTTAATTGCATAAATCCCTTGGTTATCCTATTTTACTAAAATAAATAAAAATTTTTATTGCTTAAAATTTGTTTAAAAATTGTTATTACCGAAATATCAATAAATGGAAATACCAAAACCATTACCGAAATCATATATCAAAAAATCATTTTCGTTTTTAGCACTTGCATACTATATTCTATTGTAGAAGGTTTTAATAAATTCGTGATCAATAATTATTTTCTATTCTAATTCTATAATACATATATTATGGAATTAGATAAAAAAATTATAATATCACATTAAACAATTTCAGCAAATTTTTCCTTCTAAAGTCAACGTTTTATATTACTCTATTGAATTGTTTTGTATTTCTTTTCAGCAAATCATATCTAAAAATTAACAACAATTATAAAAAGATATAGTTTATTAAAATAATTACATTTTGAAAAAAAAAATTCAAAATAAACAAACTCAAAAATAAATATAACTTATAGTGTTATTATGTTCAGTTATATCCATTATTAACAGTTTATAAAGCCGTAAGAAGTATGAAATATTAATGGACATAATAAGTAGCAACATCCTCATAAAAATATTAGTCATCAAACTTATAATTAAAATCTTGACATGTACTAACTGATTTTTCAATAGAGGATATCTAAATACACCAAATAACGATTTTTAAAGAAATTATTTTAAATTTATATTATAAAAATATACAGAACATATAATTTTTTTTAGTAGAATTAATAACTAATTTTAATTTACAAATTAAATTTATTAGTAAATTTAACTAAAGTATTTAAAACATCAAGTATGTTCTAATCTAATTATAATGTATATATTTTATTAATTACGAAAAAAAGTCTTATATTTACTTTATTTTTATAATAAAACTGTTTATTACTGTTAAAATTAATTAATTCACTGCAACTAAAAGTTTAACATAAAGATAAAAATTGTACTTACATATGTCAAAAACTTTAGTCGATTTTCAATAAATGCGAATTTCCTACTCAATTTCTACCATGTATTTTAACTATTGTAATATATTTAAAATATAAGCGTAAGTACACCAATTTTTTATTTAAAGATACTTAAAGCTGGATTTATTTCATAAATTCATCCGCGTCATTATTTTAAAATTTTACATTAATTATAATAGTTTTGAAACAGGAAACTTAATAAACAAATATTATTAATTAGTTAAAGATAAGTAGTATGATATATTTATTAGATAATTAAATTTTTTTAGGAATATTCAAATTACTTTTTTTTTTTAGTTTTAATTTACCTAAAATTGTCTAGCACTATACGGATATTATTTTTAAAATAAAATCGAGGAAACGTCAATTTTTCTATATCTTATTTATTAAAAGCATTTTTGCATTTATGATAATTATATCTTTAAAGGATTATGGGATGATCATATCAAGGTTGTATTTAGACTTTTTAGGCAATTTTTTTTCGAGCCTTTACCAGTTAGGGGAAAAATTGACACCAAAAATGACAAAATTCAATTCTCTATACTCTGGACACTGCCCTAAAGAGAGAAGTTTAGCCTTTCAGTTAAAAAATAAGCAGCCATTTCAAAAAAAAAAATGGGTCATATTATTAGTTCGCACCTTGTCCTATAAATTGTAGAAACTGAGCACCTCCATAAATTTCATTCTAATGACATTAATAACGACGAATTCAGCTGTACATTAAATTATAATGGAATTATATAACTAAATATTAAAGCATACAATTCCACATGTATGACGATTATATTTCGTTTACCAATTATTTCAATGTCATTCGATTAAAAAAATTACTTTCGACCCATTATAATAAAAGTAATTATTATCTTTCTAAGTTCGAATTTCTGTTTCTCATAAACTCTTTTATGATATGGAGACCCTAAAAATGTGAAACCCTGGAAAATTGTCTCATTTATCCTCCGTTAAATTCGGTCCTGGATAATATGTGATATCACTAAAAGTCTTAAACATTGTAACCAATTTAAACGTTCACCAACATATTTCTATAAAATTGATATGAATAAATGTGTAAAACTATACATAAAAATAAAATACTAATAGTATCGTTGTTTGGTAACTTTGAGATCAATATTTGGAGATTTTCCAACAAGCATTGATTAAGTATGTTTTTGGATGGAGTTACTTTACAAAAGTTATCGTAAGAAATGATTTCATTTTTCTAGACTTCAAAGTGAAATTTACGTTTGTCATATATCCTATAAAAGTAGTCATATTTTTTTATCTTTTTAAATTTTATTTTACAGTACAATTAAGTGTAAAACCGGTGCATCTTTTTCTTTAGATTTGTAATGTTGTTTTAATTTTAAACTGTAAAATGATTAGAAAAGAAATCTTCATGAATTAAAAATCATATGAACGTCATTAATTTTTATAAAATACTATAATTAAATACATAACGACTAGAAAATAATAACATTTAATAATAATAAGTTTTTTTTGGGGAGTACAGTTAAAATATGTATACAGGGTGATTTTTTTATCATAACCCACTCAATTACTTACAGAATAATAATAATATAAAATTTTTTTTTATTACTATCTTTAGTTACACATTATTCTTGAATTATTAACTATATAATACTTTTTAAGTTCATCCCTTATGCCTGGTAAGGGTGTCAACTTTGTTTTTTTAAATGGTAACACATATTTTTAATTTAATAAAATGTTCGAGTTTTTAATTCAATAATAAATGGCATTTGAATTTTTAATAAAACTTAATTTGTTTATTAGATATAATCATTTAAAGTTTCAAATTTTTGAGTTAATATATAGGTATAATACACAAGGGATTACAAATACAGGTAGCTAATTGGTTTTTTATGACATCGATATTAGCAGGTACACAGCATTGTTATTATCAATGATAGTAAGGTACATTGTTGTGAGTTTATAAATACACTAACTGACAATACAAAAAGTATATCTAATGATAGTCATAATTGATAATAAACAATCCGTAACTGTGATGGCAATATCATAAAAAACCAATTAGCTACCTGTATTTGTAATCCCTTGTGTATTATACCTATATATTAACTCAAAAATTTGAAACTTTAAATGTTTATATCTAATAAACAAATTAAGTTTTATTAAAAATTCAAATGCCATTTATTATTGAATTAAAAACTCGAACATTTTATTAAATTAAAAATATGTGTTACCATTTAAAAAAACAAAGTTGACACCCTTACCAGGCATAAGGGATGAACTTAAAAAGTATTACATAGTTAATAATTCAAGAATAATGTGTAACTAAAGATAGTAATAAAAAAAAAATTTTATATTATTATTATTCTGTAAGTAATTGATTGGGTTATGATAAAAAAATCACCCTGTATATACAGCTTGGAACAGATCTAACTGACAACTCATATAACTTATGATCTACATAACATTTTACACTTTTTTTAAATTAATTTTAACAATATAGTACTATATTTAAAATATGTTTTGTTATTTTTTGCAATTAAAAAAAATATTTTAAAAATTAATTTTTTTAAGATTTGAAGATAGGCATTTTATAGATAAGTTTTAAAGAATAATTTTGATACCAAAAACTCATATTTTAATTCAGTAGTTACGTTATATAGCATTTTGAAGTCTGTTAAATTTTGATTTTTTTTTACAATTTTCCTATAGTATCAAATGTTAGTTCATATGTGTTAAGTACGGTTATAACACTTAATAATAAGTAACACTTATTACGTTATTTACAAGTAACAGTACTCGATTTCTTTTCCATGAAAATTATTAACATTTGAATAAGCATTTGTAATTGACATGAAAAAACATTTAGTAGTATAATTCAGATTATTAAAAAAAATTATAGAAACATTGTTTAAAACATGTTGAAATTTTAATTAAATAAGTTCATATATCATAAATTGAAACGTCAATAATAGTGAATAAGTGCATTTATTATCAAATCTCCTTACAGGGAATATCCTATAATAATATGATTACAATGTTAGAATCACGCAAATTAATAATTGTTATCACTTTTAACCATAGAGTTACTCTATGCTTTTAACTTGGCTAACCATGGAACACTCGTAGTTGACATACGATAATGTTTCTAACTTTTGTAATAAAGATTAAACATAATCATTTCTGTAAAATGTACTTTAAAGATTATTATTATCCAAATCTTAAAAAAAAATTTAATAAAAAAATTAATTTTTAAAATATTTTTTGTAATTGCTAAAAATAACATAAAACATATTTAAAATATAGTTCTTTATTGTAAAAATGTATTTAAAAAAAAAGTATAAAATGTTATGTAGATCATAAGTTATATGAGTTAGATCTATTCTAACCTATACATGCATAAAAATTGAAATTAATAAAATAATAATGATATGTATATAGTTCTTTTAAAAATTAATTTTTAGATAAATAAATGATTTAGTTTTTATCAAATTGTAATTATTTAATGAAAATGAAATAAAAAATGATAAAATTGCATTTCTATAATTAATTCTGAAAAATTATTAGAATAACATTTAATATTTAAATTTTTTTGAAATCTAATTTTTTTACGTAAAGTAAGGTTAATGAAAATATTAAGAATTATTAATATAGTTTGATAAATACATTAAATTAATATTTTAATTTTTAATACAAATATACTTTATATTTAAATATATCATCTATTCATAAAATAATAACAAAATCTACAGTGTGATCAATTTATTAGGATAAGTATAATGATTTATTCATTTTTTTATTCATTCAATATTAAAACATTTAAATCGACAGCCGGTGTAAAAATCCTGTCAAATCATTTTAAGGTAAATCGACTCAAGATAGTTGGGTTTGAAACTAGGAAGACGATAATTGAATATGGACATAAATTTATAAACTCAAAGCATTAAGCAAATTTCTACCTCAATAATTAACCATCATAATTTCACTTTTTTAACAATATGAGGCAAGTTAAATCATTTTACGTAATTTTAGAAAATATATAATAGTTAACTTCTTCTTTAGAAAATCTTTTACTGAGATATTCATTCAAGATATTCTATAAATGTTCTTTTTAATTAAATTTTTTTTACCTTCTAATTAAAAAAAAACATTGTTTTTATAATTGTTAATAATAATTATAAAAATCATTATAAATCCTTTCTATGCTTATTATAAAAATTAATTTAAAATGTAATTGAATGTTTTTATGTTACATAAGCGATCGACAAAATTATTTAGTTAAGAAATGATTAAAAAAATAATTTCTAATTAGAATTTTTTCATATAAATGAGTCGTTTGGCTTATAATAATTCTTTCATTGCAGTTTAAACATTAATGAATACATTTTTATTTTTGAAATATTTTTATATATACATTAAAATATATTACAATTTATTATATACATAATGATATTTATTTGATATTTACAATGGCCTATAAAAATAAATCTATTAATTTTGATGAAAAATTCATTATTTAACGAAAAAATGGGTGGTGTCCTAAACAAATCACGCTGTATATATTTTTCTAATTAAAAAAAAAATATTAATATTAATCATATTATAACTATAGTCCTAAAGTGTGAAGATAATTTTTTAAAATAGTAAAACTAAATATTAACTAGCTGGAAAAGTTAAAACATGTTTTATTTGATTGTGACTCACCTGTTATAATATTGATTCAACAGTTTGGGGTTTAGACCCTTTTTAATGCTTTATAGCTGATAATGTAATACTCATTATTTAAGAGTAAAAAAGCAAAAAGAATATTAATTTTAATAAACATAACAAATTTTAAACTCGATTGTCAAGGAGAAAATGTAGGTAACGATTAGAAATATATAATATAATATAACAATAGTGATATATATATTTATATATACTAAACAATTTGTGATCTACAAACTAAAATCATTGTATTTGATCATTTGTTATACTCATAACAACATTATTTTAAATAACAGAATAAATAGTCTAAATAATTACAAATAATCAACGATATTCATGAACAGTACTTAAACGTATAACATTTATAATAACCCTTTTTTCCAAATTTTTATCAAACTTAAAATCATAAATTTCTCATCTAATAATGACAAATGTTAATAATTAAAATATCTAAACAGTTTTTTCGACACATTCGTTAAAGAGTTTTAGTTGCACGCACTATAATGGTATAATAAACATAATTACTATACATTGATTGATTATCATTCCTGTAATAGTAATTATAGATATTGTCCTTTGAAATACAACGGTAGAAATACTGCTGTACAGGAAAATTCTCAGTTTTAAAATGTTATCTTTATATTTTTGTGATCTTAAATTATGACCATTGTATGTTAATTTGACAGTTGGGTTCATAGGGAAACATCACCTATGTCACATGGCCGAGTTATGTCTAAAACCTTATTTTTACAAATGTTGCACATTTCCAGATTAAACATATACGGTCCGGTGCTATCGTTTTCGCGTTCGTCGATTGCCATCCAATGAGTAATCGCCGGAGAAGTGTCGTACTGCTCGACAGTACTATTCGGCGACGGAACAGAATCCACTTTGCCGACAATCATTTTCGAAACTCGAGTGAAGTTTTCACCCTCTTTCGACCCTTCCATCTGATTAGAAATTTTGAGAAACCTCTTCCAAGCAGTTCGAAACTGCCAACAGATATCAATGTCATTATAGATAAAACACAAGAATATTAAAAACTAATAATTTGCGTACAAACAACATGATCAAATATCTAAATAAACGAAAAATGTCAACATCCCTTCTCACAGTCTATAAAGCTCATATTACCTTACCCGGCACATTTTTGTAAAGTTTCTGCGAATAAAACACAGTTACAATGAAATACGTAAAAAATTCTTTAATTTAATTTTCAGTAAGATATTATTCATGGTATGTAAATGACCTATAACCCATAAAATAATCAAAATTGTTTTTGAAGAAAACGATTTTAATATTTCATTTTCATAAGTTTCCAACTTAAATCATTGTAAATTATTCATAACTATTTTAATGTTTCCTTTCGAAAAGCTTATATAATATGTAATATTCATTATTATTATTCATATTATGAACAACGAAAAAGCGCATCGCTTTTTAATCTAGGTACTTAATTCTCTAACACGAATGACTTACAAGTCATTTGTATTAAACTTAAGAATTAATTTTTTTCAAAGGGATATAATGATTTCAATTATTTAGAAAATTATGAAAGTTTTCCTGGTAAAGTAATTGGAAATAATTTTAAGTGGATCAAAAAAAGAGTAAACTTAAAAATGTAAATAATTTGACGCTAAATTTGTAAGCCTACTAAAGTATTTTTGTTATGTAATTAGATAAGAAAAAACTTACTTGAGTATTGAGACCAATGTAAATAATTGGATTCCAGCAGATACTCGATTTAGCAAATATTGCTAGAATTATGCTAACGATTGGGCTGACTTGTACACCAGCAAATGCAATTAAAAGTGCTAATACGGCATATGGTGTCCATGAAATAAGAAATGCTATTATCATCACAACCACCATAATGGCAACTCTGAATTCTGCTTTTGTTGCTTGCCCGAAAGAATTTGTTGAAGCTCTCTATGTAATAGTACAAAAATTCTTAGAAGATAATTAGAGCCACTATACTCATAGAATTCAAATAAAATTAAGAGAGGTTTTTCTTGAAATTATTCATTACAATTTTTAATGGAAAAATTATAATTGAAAAAATAACTTACTCTTTTTACAGTGATAAACAAATTGATGTATGAATAGAAAATGATTGATACTGGTATGAAAAATCCAAATAAAAATATAAATACAACATATGACACATATTCTCCACTTTCCCAATCTACTGAACAGCTATAAATATTATAAAAATTTATTAGTTATTGATGAAGATTATTTCCTGTGTGCAAAAATACGTCAAGTTATCACATAACCATTACTCTAAGACATGTTTAGTTGTCAAATACTTCTTAGAGATAACCCTGAGATGCTTAACGTCCGGCTTAGTGAAGTTAGTATATGAGAAAATAAAAAAAATTATTTTTCGTATACGTTACCACGTTATTACTATGTAATATCTATTAGAGACCCAATACTTCTATGCGAAATTACTTAATTTGTTTATAATGTTTATATTGAAATCGTATTAATATTTTTATATCTTCACTTGATGTATTCACATAAATTTCTAAGACATGAGGTTACAAAGTTTTTTGATTGTAATTAATTACAATTCCACATTAAAGAATTATTTATTACATTAATATTTCTGTGGTGCTCAGGTAAAAGGGTTTGAGTACAAAAATTGTATAAAATCGTTAAATACATCATAATATTTAAAAAGAAATACTCTTTTTTTGTGATATAAAGAATTATAAAATGATTAAATTTGAGCTTAAATCCCTTTACCCGAGCACCACAGACTTACTTCAATTTTATTATACTTGTTTCTAAATCTACTCAAAATTACACAATTAAAAAATTTTGCTGTCACTTTAAGAATAAAAATCAGACAATATATCGATTTCAAAATCGTCTTTATGCACATAATAAAACTTAAGAAAAGATGTTCAATTAATTCCATTGGCAGTTTAGTAGTAATGTATATGGTTACATACGTTAGTGTATTATATTTAATCTATTATTTATTTTGTGTTTAAAAATTGCAATTTTGAAATCAACCCTTTTATTCGGAAGTCTTTGAATTAAGATTCAACAAGCTCTTTACTGTATTGTTCAGTAGTTTTTTGCCACCTATTTATTTTATTGAAATATTTTCATAAAATTCATTTAAATACAATTGTTACATATGCTCTACTAAGTAATTAAGTTTATTTCATTATTTTTTTGGATAACTTTTTGTCCCTTTAGTATTTACCTATTATTTTGTTTGTTTCCAAAGATAAATAATAATATTATTAAATAGTAAATATTGACATGAATATGAGTAAAATTTTAAAAAATTTTTGATATTCTTTGATTCTTACCTAATATCAGCGGATTCGTTTACATAATGACTCCATCCAAACAGCGGCGGACCAGTTACTATAAAAGCGTATACCCAAATACTTGCTATTGCATATATTGCAGATTCGTTTGTAAGTCTTCGAGTACTGAACGGATACCGGATCATTAAGTACCTGTCGTAAGCTAATACTGATAATGTAGTTATGGAGCTTATACCTAAAATAAAAAAATATGTAAGTATATGATCATACGACCATTATTAATTAACCGTATTGTGAGATTTTTCAGAAACGTTAAATAAAAATTGGAACGATTCTTTTAAAATAATCAATAAATTATTTTATTCTCGTTTTAGCTTTTAAAATATTGCGCACCCGCTTACAGTACAAAGAAAAAAGTTATCATATATATCTAAAATTATGCAAATCTAATAGTGACGTCCTAATAATCTTCATTTGGTTACTCAAAAAAAAAAAATTAGGAAACAGAAAACAATGATAACATATTATAATAAATAACTTCTTGTTTAAAGTTATATGTACGTATTTATCTATTACTATATGTATTAATATACATATAATACACCCAAAGAAAAACCTCAATCAAAATTGAAAGAGAAATTTTATCAAGGGTTTATGATAATGTTTTATTAATACGAACAAAATAACTATTCTTATAAATAATTATTGTTCAAGACAAGAAAAAAAAATATCATATTGATAAATATATCATTGATTCAATAGTAATGATATATTTATCAAATTGAACAATGAATTTATTATATAGATCGAGGTTTTTCTCTGGGTGTAGTGTATATATATAAGTTTATTATTTATAATAAAATGTAATTTTTCGTTTTACAATATAAAAAATTTCTCTTAATTTGAAACAATGGTTGGGAGGTTAGGCGTGTATAATCCCCTTACTGTTGATCAAAAATCCATAAAAATTTTATTTTAAAAATTCATAATTTAACTTAAATATCTTAGTTTCATTTTATGTTTCTCATTTGATTTTATCAATTTATTAATAGAATAAAAATTAATAAAAAATACTGATAAAAATAATAAACCTAAATTTTATAAGGTAAATTATTTTAACAATAAAATTTTTATGGAGAACGAAGTTTTTTCTCCAAACAAATTTTAATCGAACAAGCAATTTTTTTTAGCTAAGAATTAATGAGTATATATTGGAAATAGTATAACAGACAATATAAATGATAACAAGTATGATTTTGACATCGGATAAAAATTAAGGTTTTTAAAACGTCAATAACAGAAAATATTGTTTTGAGGTTACTCAATATTGTTGTTTTAAGTGTAAAAGTTGCATGAGAATGATAATGAAACCAATTTAGCACAATGCGATTGTTTTTCTTGTGAACTTTTGTAGAAAAAAGTAGGTGATTCGAATATTAATGACAAAAAGTACGTTTAAACGCTAATACGGTCTATATTTACCTTCCCCATAAGTAATTAGTTCTCAAACTCGATTTAATAATACGTAAAAATTTTGTTTCCCTTTTCATTACTATAAATGTATATCGCTATAGTAATATACATACATATTAATCATGTAATTAGAAATAGTAATATTGTAAGTTGCATTAAAAAGCACTCGGTACATTGATACAAACTCGTATTCAAGATGTGGCTCAACAACAAATTAAAATTAAACTGGTCAATTATTTCCATATTCTGTTTTAGTATTGAAACATATTTACATTAAAATATTTATTCTAAATAATATATTTTTTAAGTTTATCGAAAATTAACTGAAAAGAATCTTTATTAAAGGTTTTCATATAATGTTTTACCTATGTAAAAATATTCGCGATTGAAAAAATAAGATTGATCCACTTCACGTTGCCTTTTTTAAATAAAAAATAAGATTTGTATGATAAAGAAAATAGTTTTTATGATCAAGAGTGTCCGTAAAGCGGCTAAGGGGGAATATTTTCTCTTTGAAAATTAATGTTGTAGCAAAAATGATACTTTTCTAAAAGTATGGGTAATTTCTTAAATTTTAATATTTATTTCCAAAAAAAAAAAGGTCATCTAAAAAAAATGTACTTTGTCCCACCTGAAAGTTATCTTATTGATATCTTTGTTTATGACCAGATGTTATGTGCGTTGACATTAGAGGGTAATATTCTACTATGATTTTCCACAGATTTAAATAAAGCCACTGAAGTACCATTTATTTAAGGATGACTATATTTTCTTACACATCTACTGTAATCTAAGGTCCTTTAAATTAAAAGTTTGAGAGTTAGTACATATAACTACAAAAAATAAATAACCTATAACTCAATTTGTGTCAAATACATATTTAATGAAACACTCTCAATAATTTTTTTAATAATTAATGATTAAGCTATTAATTTTACAATCTTACCAAATAAGCCCATGAAAAATCCGTACATCACACATATTGTTTGACCAAAAATCCAACCCTTAGTTATAGCTGCTGCTAAAGTTACAGGATTGCCTACTAATGATACTGCAAAATCCGAGACAGCTAAATTAAATAATATCAAATTTTGAGGCGTCCGTAGCTGAAAATTAACAGTAGTACAATTTTTTTAAAGTTTACTTATTATGTAACCTTTAATATTATTATTAATTTTTTTTTTATTGTAAAAAAAAATTGTTTTATTTGTACTTTTTATAAGGAGTTCAACAATAAAACCCAATTGTACATAAATCAGGGGTGTCATATTATTTTTTTTAGATTAAGAAAACTTTTAAATAAACCACTACATACAAAACATTTTTCATTCAACATAATATATAAAAATATTTGATGAGTATTTTTTTTTTTTTTAGAAAAATATATAAAACTTACTTGCGCAATGCCTAGTTTTTTAGATTATTAAAAACCAGGATATTCAGTTCGCTACTTATTATACTAACAATTTTTTTGTATAAATTGTAAAATTTATAGAAATGTTGTAATTATTTATCTAAAATAATATCACAATTATATTATATAGAATGAATGATAAAAATTTTAGATACCTACACATTTTATTAATTTTATCAATATACTATTACATCGTTTCTAAGTTTAAAGTTTATTTAAATTACTTCTAAAAAATGTTTAAATCACCTGTGGGTCTTTAATCATAATAAAGATAACGCAAGCATTGAACACAAATCCAACTATTCCAATAACGCCCAACACAACAGCAGCCCCGTGATAGGCGGCATTTGAAATGAGCTGTTGGCGCATGGACGTGGTTAAGATGCATCATAGAAACATATTGGATGTCATACATCAAATATTCTTCATGTATTCTCTAAAATTAAACAAAATTATGTTAGTTTATAAATAAATATAGTAGTTAGATTTTGATATTTTAATTATAGTTTAAATTATGAATTTAATATTTGTTCATGTAAAATTAAATTAAATAAACCCAGATCAGTGGGTCGCGGCACAGTGGGAACGTGGCATAGTTGGATCCACTATAGATGATATCTGACAGTGATTAAAATCACTATTATAAAAAACGCTTCGATGCAAATCTATAGATAGTTTAATTTCAAAAAATTGGTGGATATTCCAAAAGCAACATGATCTCATATTTCCTTATTTGTATTCTGATTACAAATTTTATGATTTATAAGTGTAAAAAGATGAATATATATATATATAATATATAAATATATATAGGGAAATGGTCCGATTTAAAAAAAAAAATATGTTGCATAAAAGAAGAATATAAATAGTACTTATCTTAAGAAAATTATAATAATCCGTACATTTTTCAAAAAGTTATAGCATTTGTTCATTTTTAAGAAAGTTATGGCAGTTATAAATAAAAAAAAATTTTAAATTTCGAAAATTAGCGATTTTAAAATTTGTAATTTTTTTGGAGATTTCCCCTATTTACGGGAAACGAGAGAAAAATTTCAATTATTGAAGGTAATGTCTTCGACTAGATACAATTTGTTATCTTTAGACGCATCGTTGAAAGAAATCGGTTCGGTGAGAGCTGAGAAAAAGTAGTAACAGACACAAAAAAAATAAATAAATAAAAACAAAATACACATCATAGTAAAATTAATACCTTCTCAGCTTCGCATTAAAACTAAAATGAAAGAAAAATATAAAACATAAATGAGTTTGGTTATAAATTATTCTAATTAATATAAAATAAAAATATCAGCATTTCTGTACAGATAGAAGTTAAATAAATGAATACAGCAAACATTAATAGTATCCTTAGTTGGGTATATATTTATTTATTTATGAGTAATATTTATAGAGGACCTATGGGAATCGATTCGCTTAGCTGTTACAATTTATGTTAGTAAACTTTGACTAATTAAATAGATGTAATTGATACAAATCACTTGCAAATTTTATTTTTCCTTTTTTCTAATTGAAAAGTAATAAAAAAATGTTTAGTGCTTAACTAAACAAAACGTACACGATTTATTTCAAACATAATTATTGCTTTATTAGATTCAAAACACTGTTGCTTTATTATATATAATGGTTTTATAAATAATATCCCTCTATAACATCATAATACTCATATTCTTATTGATTTTTGTGTTTTTTACTATATTTTAATTAAAACCTATAAGGACTATTATTGCGAATAAATAGAGCATCGCCCTAAAAACAATGATTGTATTTGCATTGATCTTTTGACATTTCTCAATCTAGATGTACATGCATTATTTATTGAGCTAACGTTGAAAAATTATCATTCGCACCCCAAATTTAATGTTGTATCATTACCAATAAATACTATTAGATGCAGTGATAGTTTCAAGAGGCGATTTAGGGTCGACACAACTGGCAAAACACAAATACAATGAGTTTTACGACAATAAATTAGCAAACCCTACGATCTTCCGTTTAATTTCGAACTTGAACTTCATTTTTGAAAAACGATAGTTTCTTTAGAGTACCGATACTAATTATAAGTCTTATGTTTTTAAATCCACTCAAAAGAATGGCAGCTTTATTTTTTAGCTTGGTCTTAATCTCTTTTTTTCCAAATAGACTGTTGGAAAAGTTTATGCACAACCAGTGGTTTTTTTCGTAATTTTTAAGTAGGATACAACGAAAACGATTTTTTTATAATGATTATAGTTTCCGCATTTTTGTAAACAGTAATATTTTTAAATCAAAAGTAAATATTATTTATGTTATAGTTACGTATTTATACAGAGTTTTCCACGAGATTCTGACATCCCTACAAATTTTGATTCAATTGTAATATCGTTGAAATTTTTATTAAATAACTATTGTCTTTATTTACTTCGTTCAAGTCTATGTTTTATCATTTATACAAAATATACTTCTATTTTTTAATTTTGCCGAATTGTCCCATCCCATTTGGCAAAATGTAAACATTTGAGTCAGCTATATTTTAATAAATGAGAATGTTACTAAATATAATTATTAAAAATAAGATCACCAAATTAAAAAAAAAAATATTCAATCGGCATAAAACAAAATTTTTTGAGGCTTTGTCTATGAAAGCAATAATTATTTAATTATCTTTAATGATTGGCTATTTATGAAATTATATAAAATATAATTTAGATATTTATTAAATTGTGATCCAATTACAACTTTTGTTCCCATCAAAACTTGTTAGAGATATCAGAACCTTGTTGAACACCTTGTTTAATGGAATTTAAAATTGATTAAAAAAAAATTTGTTTGAAATAAAGATAATTTTGGATATAAATTGTCAGGGATGAAAATTAATTTGATATCTCTCATAATTGTTTTTTTATTTTGAATGATAAGGTACCACAAGAAACTTAAAAAGTATCGGTAAAATAAAAACGAAGTCGTCTCTATGTCGGAGTTACCATTAAACTTCTCATGACTAGAACCGGTATTTTAATTGAAAACTACGTCGTCTGCACAAATAACGTTGCTTCATTTACTGTACCAAGAGTACCAGGGTCGCAGCATGACTATGTTTCGTCGTGTTACCTGGTCGACAGAGATTGTTTACATCTGTTGTTGAACATCTGTGCGCACTGCACGTATGCGACTCTGGTACAATGCTTCCTTATTGTTAAAGAAGAAAAATAAAAAATCACAACTTCCGCTAAAATTGGAAATTGCATCTTGAAAATTCCCGGACAATGTACAAATCGTGTTTATTTAATGTAATATAAATTTTTCTTAACTTTAATATTTTAACGTATAACTATCTAAATAATCACAATAAATACCTTACACATGTATTTATCAAAAAACATCTTATAAAAAGGCAGTCTATTTTAAACAACTAACAAAATAACATAAGTTATTTTGACTCATATGTAAATTTTCAAATTTACCATATTTAATCGTTCATATTATGCTATAATTAATTAGTCATATAACAATTATAACTTAATCTTATTAAAGTGCGTATGTTTAAGTATATGTTATAATGTATATTATATGTCAATGTCTAAATTTAAAATGTTTTTTCTTTTCTAAAACGTCTAGATAAAAATAAAAAAATTGTGAAAGAATGTATTTAATTGGTCAAACTTTGTTCACATCTATAGGTACACTGTGTGATTTACTGCACAGAAAAATAAATAACATATTAGTTAATCGTTTTAAAGTCATTCATTTCTAAAGTATAGATTAAGTTATTATTTTCAATCGAGCGTGAGTAACTAGTGTTATCAACAATATGCAGATGAAGGTCAGCTGGGTCCCTGGTACTCTAGTGAAATGTCTGGGCCGCGAGTAACCGTTGAAGAACCGTCAGTGAACCGCAACTGATGGCCACTGCCGTAGTCGGCTGCGGCCCTACTGAGAAGCGTACGCGTTCGCTGACACAACGCAACTCGAGCGACTCTCTCTCCTACGGTTCCCTATAAAGCGACGCAATACTCATACATTCCTGATACCGGATCCACGAGCATGCATTTCATATGGGCGATCTTGTGGTTTTGAAAAACCGAGGGAAATGCTAACCAGTAGCGGTCGCGTTACCTGTACACTTAACGGTAGCGGCCATAGAGTGACAATGCCTACTAAAGCGTAGAATTTTCATCACATACGCAGAAATTCGAAAAAAAAATTATTACTGCCATTGGCTACTCGAATTTGTGATGCAAACCGCAAAGGGTTATTCACAGACCAATTTTTCCGTAGGATACTTTTTTTAGTAAGGTAGACCTGGTAGGTTTTCATAACAGGGGCTCAGAGGTTGTTTACACAGCAATAACCAAACGAGCTTCTCTACGTTCTGTAGATATGCCGAAACAACACGTTGTACTTCAGTATTTCCATCACTTGTATCTGGTAATTTTCTCCACTTGTTGAAAAACGTTTACATTCTTTATCACGTAAAGCTAAAAAATGTCATTTATATGTCCGATCAAACTAATAATTAAACTAGTAAGAGAAAATGTTAATATTTCCATTAAAACTTTTATGATATTCATGTTTTAACCATTAAATATTAATAATATAGTGTCGATAAGATAAAGGATTGTGGCTAAATTATTAATTAATATCCCTCCTCCACAAAAAAAAAAAATTGAAGTTATTAAAATTATACGTGTTTTTTTCATAATGTGCAAGTAAAACGCGAAAGAAAAACCTTGCATCCATTAAAGTAACTAATAAATAATAAGTTTACAAGAAAACAAAACAAAATAAATAAAAAGTAAGTTACCCATTAAATATATGTAAATATAAATAAATGTGAAAATTATGAATTATTTCCGAGATAAAATTGTTTCTGTGTTTTTATAAAATATATATTAGTAATTTAGGATTTTCTGTAATGCATATCAGTTTTCAAAGATAAATAATTTTCGAAGAAAATTACATTGTTCAAGACTTTTTAACCTTATTATTTATTTGAAACATGACGAGAATGTTGTAGTTTTTATATTTTTGTTCTGTTCACCTAATATTACAAGCTATTTAAAGTTTCAAAATATCTAAAAATGTTTATGCGTTGTATATTTAATTTCATGAAATACTTAAATAAAAATCAGTGATCGATGTTTAGTTAGATAAAATGTATTTATTTTTGTACATACTTGAAAAAAAAATCACCTAACCAAATTTCTTTTGGGGTTTAAATTAAATTAAATTCAAGATTCGCACTGGTTTAATATTTTTTATGCAAATACCAATATTTTTTCATAGAACTCTCTGATTGTCAAAGGTTTACGAAGAAAAGCTTTTTTTAATAGTTATTTGAGTTATACTTTGGTTTGTTACTTTTATCTATAAAGTTTATATATGAAATGCAAAAGTTTGCACTCCACAAGTTTTTCACCGCATTTATTTTTGATTTTAGAT